AAAAAACTGTTCACAGAAGTGATGGCAGAAAACAGCCCAAGGAGGGGAAAAGAACTTCACATACAGATAAGTGAGGCATATAGGACTCCAACTAGCGTTGATCAAAAAAAAATCCCTACACATAGGCATATAATTGTTAAGATTTCAGAAACCCAATAGAAGAACAAAATTCTAGAAGCAGTCATAGAAAAGCAACAAATCACACACAAAGGAAAGCCCATCAGAATCACAGCAAACTTCTCAAAGCAAACCCTCAAGGCAAGAAGAGCTTGGAGTAACGTATTCCAAACACTAAAGGAAAACAGCCTCTAACCCTGACTGATGTACCCTGAAAAACTATCTTTCAAAATTGATGAAGAAATAAGGTACTCTCATGACAAAGAGCACCTGAGGAACTTCATGAATACCAAAACACCAGCACTCCAAAAAATTTTAGACAATATCCTAAGAACAGACAATGAGGATCACAACCCCAGGAAGCCCAGCTGAATGAATACACTGGGCACGACAAGAAATTAAACGCAAAGCTGGAGAATCCAACAAAAAGCAAGAGTCATGACAAGGATAAGTCAATACATATCAGTTATAACAATCAATGTTAATGGTCTCAACTCACCAATCAAAAGAAATAAACTGAATGGGTCAAGAAGCAAGATCCAACAATATACTGCATACAAGAAACACACTTAATTCAAAAAGAAATTCACAGACTGAAAGTTAAAGGGTGCAAAACAATACTCCATGTGACAGGAACCCCCAAAAGAGCAGGAGTAGCCATCCTCTTTGCAGATCAAGTGGATTTCAAACCAACACTGATTAAGAGAGACAAAGAAGGACACTACATCCTGGTAAAGGTACTAATCCAAGAGGAGGAGAGGACAATCATAAACATATATTCACCAAACACTACTGTGCCCAACTATATAAAAACAAATACTGACAGATATGAAAAATCCAAAAAGCACTAATACAATAGTACTGGGGAACCTCAATACCCCACTGTCACAAACAGACAGATCAACTAGACCGAAAAAAAGGAAGGAAATACTAGAACTCAATTGAACTCCTGAACAAATGAACTTAACAGATGCTTACAGACTATTACACCCCACAAAATCAGAATACACATTCTTTTTAGCTGCACACGGGTTATTCTCCAAAACAGACCACATACTCGCTCACAGAACACATTTAAGTAAATGCAAAGGAACTGAAGTTATCCCCTGTGTATTATCAGACCATAGTACGATAAAATTGGAGATCAATAGCAAAAGAAACCGCAAGAATTTCATAAACACATGGAAATTGAACAACACACTTCTGAATAACCAATGGATCACAGAGCAAATGAAAGAAGAAATCAGACAGTTCCTTCAATTAAATGACAATGCTAATACAACATATCAGAATCTATGGGACACAATGGAAGCAATCTTACAAGGGAAATTCATAACAGTGACTACTCACACTAGGAAAACAGAGGGAGCCCAATTAAACAACCTGATGCTGAAACTCAAACTTCTAGAAAAAGAAGAGCAAGGCAAACTCAAAGCTCATACAAGGGAGGAAATTATAAAGATCAGAGCAGAAATCAAAGCAATGGAGACTAAGGAGAACAATACAAAAAAAAAAAAATCAATGAAGCCAAGAGTTGGTTCTGCAAAAGAATAAACAAAATTGAAAAACCTTTAACCAACCTTATCAGGAAAAGGAAAGAAAAGGCCCAAATCCATGCAATTAAGGGTGAAAAGGATGAAATTACAAAGGACCCAGCAGAAATCCAGAGGATCATCAATACCTACTTCCAGAAACTATACGCCAATAAGATGGAAAACACAGAAGAAATGGACAGATTCCTAGATATATATGAATTACCAAAGTTGAACAAAGAACACCTAAAAATTCTAAACGACCCAATATCAATCAATGAAATTGAAAACGTAATTAAAAACTAACCAACTAAGAAAAGCCCGTGATGGCTTCACTGCTGAATTCTACAAGGAATTTAGAGAGGAACTACTGCCACTACTCTTTAAACACTTCAATGAAACTGAAAGGGAAGCAATATTCCCGAATTCATTCCTGGAAGCAGGCATCACCGTGATCCCCAAAGCAGAGAAAGACCCACCCAACTGAAAAAGAGAACTATAGGCCAATCTCACTAATGAACATAGATGCAAAAATTCTTAATGAAATACTGGCAAACAGGATGCAGAAGATCATCAAGAAGATCATACACCCTGACCGAGTGGGATTCATCCCAGGGATGCAGGGATGGTTCAACATACGCAAATCAATCAATGTAATACACTATATCAATAGAGCCAAGGATAGAAACCATATGATTATCTCCATAGATTCAGAAAAAGCATTTGACAAAATCCAACATGCATTTATGATAAAAACCCTACAAAAAATTGGAATAGACAGTGTCTACCTCAATCTGATAAGAGGCATCTATGAAAAACCAACAGCCAATATCATACTAAATGGTCAAAAACTGAAATCCTTCACACTAAAATCAGGAACAAGACAAGGATGTCCAC